CTAAAAACTAGTTAAAACTAACTGAATTAAAAGAAAAATGTTAACTAAATAAACTATAATGAAAAATCCAAAACTGTTCTAACCTTGGTTGGCAGGTGTCGCCCTCTGCTGGTCATTAGATGAACTGCAGCTTTAAAGAACTGAAGGCTTGATCTTCAGAAACCAATCTGCAGAGAGAGACATCAGAGTTATTTGGTTTTTATTTGTTGGGTTTTTTTTAACCTAAAAAACTAATCAGCTGCAACAAAAGGTAAATGTGTGTTAATAAGTTTATGTGTCATTAAACATGAGTTATCTGTGGTAGAAACCTTCAGCAGGAGGCCCATGACCACATTTAATTACATTTCTGCTCATTCATTGGTGTGTGTGTGTGGTGGGGGGGGGGCTGTGAGATGATGTGCAACAGCAGACCCTGACGTACCTGGTTCTGATCCAAACCCAGCGACCACCCATCATCTGCGGCCCAGTTTCAGATTCTCAGGTTGGCAACAGTCTGTAGGAGGTTCTTCTCCGCTGGCATGCAGACGGTCCAAACAGATCCAGATCCTCCACACCCGCCCCTCAAGCCGTCCCATAAAGACCCGAGTGCATCGACCCTGAGAACCGAAGATCCAGCAGGATGTTTTCAGAAAACAATAATCACTCTGAAAGAAACGAACAGGAGATGTGAGTGAAGAGCTCAAATCAAAGCTTCAGATAATATAGTTACGGTCTTAATGTAGTTTACAGGTGGGCACAGCTAACCACACAATTAGCTTTGCTCATTCTAAACAGCTAAACAAGTAAACACCAACAGCTAACTGCTAATCTTAGTCTCCACTGAGCTGAAGACAGTTGAGACTGATGCAAACCTGTAACAGAGCGCAGCTGCTTCTCATCAAACTCGTCTCAATCAGGTTGTTTTGTGTTTCAGCTTCACAACATCTGCTTGTTTAAAGGACGTTTTAGAAGTGGAGGCTCTGATACACAGTTTAACATAAAACAGAAGAATATATCTTTAAGGTTTAAAGTGATGATGATGCTTATTTAGTTTTAAAAGTTAAATCTGTTTTTGATAAAATTAGATTTTTTGCAGAAACAACCACGCCTGTTCCCTCAGCTCCCCGACAGCCTGCCTTACACGTGAACACGTGAGAGCGTGCACACTCATGCACTCTCTCTCGTGCGCACGAGAACATTAAACACATTCAGGGGATTTTTCATGTCAGTGTCAGAAATATCATTTCCTGACAAACTTCCACTTCAGCCGCCTCCTTTTTCCTTTTCCTCCTGTCATCACAGAGCTTCCTGATGGATCCAACTTTACTGTAAAAATACACAAAACAAGTATATATATATATATATGTATGTATGTATGTATGTTTTCAGGATCAATCAATGGTTCAGATTTGATGAATATATTACTTATATTTAACCCTTCAAGGGTCACTTTATTATCAGCCAAGTCTCTGTAAATACTTTGTAAGTACTAAGTAATAATCCTGTACCATACCCTTGTAAGTACTATGTATGTTACTCTTATAACCATGTAAATACTCAGCACCAAGTACTAAACATATACTACACCTCCTTAAAAACTCTGTAAATTACCCTTTAAGTACTCAGAAATATATTTCTACCTTACCTTCATAAGTACCTGTAATTACCCTGCATGTTACATGTATGTATTAGCTATGTGCCTCTGTAAGTATCCTGTATTTACTTTTCATGTACTGCAACTATCTTATAAGTACAACATATGTTACCCTGTCAGTTTTATGTAAATACCCTGCAAGTATCCTGTAATTGTCTACTGTGTAGGTACCAGTTACATACCCTATATAAGTACTCTCTACTCTCCGTATACCATTTCACTATAATTACCTGGTATTTACCATGTATGTACTGCATAGTTACCAAGTAAAAGTAAGTACCCTGTAATTAATTACTCAGTACCTTCCACACACCCCTCCATCATGTACTCTGTAAGTATACTGTATGTACCCAATAAGTATCAGGTATGTTTTCCCATTGTTACATTTTAGATATCTTGTAAGTACTCTTATAAATACCATGTAAGAAACAAGTCCCTTCGTGATACAGCCTGTACTCTGTAAGTACCCCCTTTAGTACATTGTACTTACCCTGTTCACTCCCAGGTACCAGGTACTCACCTCTGTAAATACTGTGCTCTAACATGTATTTCTCTACTTTTTCCTGTTTTTTTTTTTACTTTGTTTTTTTTTTTTTACTGAATCCTTATTAAAGTGAATTTGTTTTAATCCAGAGTTCAGCTGAAAACAGCTGCAGGAGTGTGTGTGTGTGTGTGTGTGTGTGTGTGTGTG